AGGAGAAGCTTACACTTCTATTAATTATCCGAGCATAAACGGTTATCATCTGATAGTCTCGTAATCGATAAGTGGACATTAGGAAAATATAAACTAAAATGCTAGATGAAAATAAGTGACACAGAAATGTTTTGAGAGCATCCACTGATTGAGAATAGCCCCTGGAGAACTGTACATGCCATATCGTTGCACTGTCCAGCTCGCTGAACACCGTACACATGTACTTCCCGCGGCTGCCAGGGTGCATTGGAAATGCCCTGGCGTATTGCCCGCGATCTGTGACCACTGGCCGCCCTCTCTGTCTCAGGCCGAGACGGGTGTGCAGGGAACAGCGTGTCCTGGCTAGGGGCGATGCAGCGTGTTCAGTGGCTTGTCATCATGGGACGAGTAGGTGCTGAGCATGGAGCGGCACGCATTCAACAAGCTCGCATTACATACAGGACCTTTGTTTATTTGTACAAGGCTTACATAATCATGCAGCGGCGAAGTGTTTATTCTGCTGCAGCTGATTGGTTGGCTGATAAAAAAAAATTTTTTATGCATGGAGGCAACTGGTGTTCAAGCGCTCTGTGGTATTTGAGTATAAATAGAACAGAACTATGTTCAATTGTAGAAAAAGATGTACTTTTTTAACTTGAGTGCTGCACAATGTTGTTGCACAGTTTTAATAGAAAGCACAGTTTGCACAGTACCATTTTGAATCATTTAGCATTGCATATTGCATACTTAATTTAAAAAAGTAGTATACTGTATCTTTACATTAAATTGTAGTTATTAAAAAGTAAGTCTAATTAATTGACTTCATTAAACTGATACAATTTAATAATTTATGAAAAGTTTTTTAAAAAGTTGTTTTTCAGGGCCCAAAGAAATTCATTTTATTTTTTCAAATTCCATCCATTTTCCAAATTTCCAAATTTCCAAATTCCAACCATTTAATGGTTTACTTAAAAAGCGTGTCTAATTAATTGAAATCATTGAACTAATAAAATATAACAATTTACAATTTAAAGTTTAAAAAATATTATATTTTTAGGGCCCTGAAAATCGTTTTATTTTTTCCCAAATTTAATTTTATTTTTGCTAAATTCTGTGTTTTTACCTTTTATATGGATTCAGTTTTAATAGATTAATTACATTTGAATAATCAAAAACCATGTTTAAACAATTGAATTCATTAAACTTTAACAATTTAAAAATGTAAAAGGAAAAACAAATTTAAAAACAAACATTTTTACAATATGAACAGTTTTATTTTTCCATATATATTTTTTTTATTGTCTGTTTAAATTTTCTCAATTTATGATGTAATACAAATGTATTATCAAAGATGATGATACTGATGAATTGATGAAAAAATTTGCCAAATTCATGTGAATTTCTGCTTTATACAGAAATATGTAAAATCCATTTCGATTACTAGGTGCCATGATTCTGTCCACATTTTGGCCTTTACTTCTTCTGAGTTGGTATGAGTTTGGTATATTTGTAACATTTCGGTCCATGTCTGACCTCATTGTAGATGGATGACCTTGAATGTCTCTGACTGAGAGTGCTGTGTCCCTCTTTGACCCCTGACAGACACAAAGATCTGCTGTATTTGTCCTGCTTCTCCTCTGGCTCATTGTTTCCCATCTTCAGAGTGTTTTTCCCTCTTTCTTGCGGTCACTCTTCAGTGACATTGAGTGAATGAGTTTCTGTCTGTCTGTTTCTGTCTTTGTCATCGTCACATATGATCGTGTCAGTCAAACATGATTGTCGCTTCCAGATCCTTCAGTCTCAGATTTTCCTTTAGTCTAAATCTCTGTATTTAGATGCCAAAAATACCATGGAAATACCATTTATTCTTGGACCTGTACTATAGTAGAAGACAGTTTACTTTCAGTATCAACTTCATCTCAGGTCAAAGTGTCTGAATAATTTTTCGTCCCAAATTTGTATCAGTTTTACTGGTAGTCCACTGTATGAAGAATTTTGGGTATAATATGTCACAGTTTACTTTATTTTGCTATCCTCACTTACATAAATGAACTATAGTGTCCTGCACCTGCTAGTAAAAAAAAAGTTAAAAATTATATCTGGTGTCTAAATCATTTTTGGTTTGACTGTACTTAAGTAAAACATTATATATTCTAAATATACTTGGCTTATACTGACACATATAAAGAAATGTCTATTTGGCCAATATTTGTACTTAATACTCGAGATATACTATTTATTATTCAAAATTTGTCTTACACTCACAAGTATACAGAAAAGTGTATTTGGCCTATACTTATACTAAATCTTTTGAGACGTGCTTTTAATTATTATGTGTTCTAAGTATACTTGGATTATACTGACAAGTTTATAGAAAATATTTGACCTAGACTTGTACTAGATCTTTTGATTGAGATATGTATTATTAAGTATTCTAAGTATTTGGCCTATTGTACTGAATCTTTTGATCAAGGTATACTAGCATTACTCTAAGTATACTTGGTTAATATACTGACAAGTATAAAGAAAAGTCTTAGTATATTTGACCTGTACTTGTACTTAATCTTTTGATCAAGATACACTAGTATTATTAGGTATTCTAAGTATACTTGGTTAGTACTGACAAGTACAAAGAAACGTTTGAGTAAATTTGGCCTATACTTGTACTGAATCTTTTGATTGAGATATACTTAAGAAAAATATTAAGTAGAATGCTTGGTCTATATACTGACAACAAGTATACAGAAAAGTCTAAGTATAAGCCTATTTGGTCTACTTGTATGTACTCTTTTGATTGAGATGCACTTAATGTAATTGTGTTTACTCTTTTAATAGAGTTGCCTATGAAATACTTTACCCAAATATTGTCTTCTTTGAGGTAGTACTCCAGCATATGTTTTACATGCATTCTTATGAACTTACATCTTCAAGTTTATAGTGACGAGTTTGCTTTAGTCAGTTCACTTGTATTATAGAAACCATCACTGTACCGCTTTGCTTTTTTGTTTGTGTGTCATTTATAAACTCGCTCTGAAGTCATGTGATCTAGTAACCTTCAGATGAACTCTTCAGATATACTTGCATTGTGTCACGAGTTCAGGCAAACTCACATGACCTCAAAATACACCTACGAGTAAAAGCTTAACTACGCCTCGTAGATATTGACTAAGTGTACGCAAAATCTGTCTCTTTAGCTCGCAGCTCCTGCAGCCTTGTTTTGCGCACTGATTTTCTCTCTGTGTCACACAGACGCAACGCAGACGTTAAGATAAGGCTATTTTGAGTGAACTTAACCATATTTACTGCTGATAAAAAAATATTGCTATGGCTGGCAGACAACACAAAGCTTTTAGCAGTGCTAGTATCTGACAAGCTGTTATTTGTTGTGCCTCAATTAAATGAGACAATACTGTGATTTATGTTGAGTGGTTTGGAAAATGTTTTATGATAATGCTGTCATTGTTAACTAACATAATTGTATTAATTGAAGCTGAAATAATTATAAATATTATATTAAAAACTTAATCGAATATGAGATCATTTGACTTGGCAACCAAATTAAATAAAATGAGTTTAAGCTGAGATACTAAAATTACTCAAACTACATGTAAAATATGTAATAAAAAAGTGAGATAGCGAAATAGAAATTAGGTTTATTAATTTTACAAGAATGCATTTAAAAAAGCGCATAACCAAATTACTAAAACTTAAACTAAATAAAAAAATTTTATTATAAAAATAAACTCTAATTTAAAATATTAACAAATACTATATAGAATATAAATAATACTAAAATAACACTGACGTATAACTGCAACTAGTGTGAAAAATAATAAAAAATTTTGTCACAAATTTTGCCTTGGCAAACAGAAGAAATAAGTTTAAGTTGAGATACTAAAATTACTCAGACTAGAACTAAAATAAAACATAAAGCGAAAGAGAAATAAAATAAAAATAAAATGAAATAAAAATAAAAGCTAATTTAAAATATTAACAAATACTATATAGTATATAAATAATACTAAAATGACACTGGTGTGTGACTGCAACTAGTGTATAAAAATAATCAATATTTTTTAATCAATATAGAAGACAATGTTAGCATCCGTTAATTTGAATTGTTGGAGACAACTGGTTAATTTGAAGCTTTTTTGCTTTTTTCATCTTCCGGGTTTAAAATCTACATCGTGTTGACGTCACAATTATGACGTGGCAAAGGACTATAGTACATCGATGACGCGTCAATGTCTATTAAATTATTCATGAGACTGCGTGTTCTTATCCTATGAGAAGACGCTTCGCTTAATTATTCACAACAGCATGTGTTGATTTGCTATGACAGATGCTACAGACTGTGAGACCGCGTACATTAACTGAGAGAAACGTTCATGGATCGGAGGAGAGTGTTTGTTTATGCTTTATAATAAGAGTTCGGCACAAACTCGATTCATTCCCTTGAGTGAATGTAACCGTTTTTACAGCTCCTGACACAACCCGTCAAAAGGCTTATATAAACGTTGCAGAATACACCAAAAACACTCAATTAAAAAAAAATGACCCTTATGACTGGTTTTGTGGTCTAGGGTCACAATTGTGGTGAGAACTAACCAGCGCTGAAACAGGGGGTTTCATGACCCTTAAATGGCCAATGTGCCAGTGACCATATGCAACATTTACAGTACGTATATACAATAAAGCTTGCTAATATCTGCATGTGGCTGCTCTCCTCTGCTTCACAGGCCGATGTGTGATTGGTGCTCTGCCACTGTCCGCCAGCATGGTAGACATGGAGAAGCACTACAGGCCCCCGTCGCCGCTGGACGACTCCGTGCTGGACAGTCCTCTGTGCCGGGACTTCATCGGGGGAATGGAAGACCTTCAGGACATCTCTCAGTCCATCGAAGAGGACGCTCTCAGCAGCTTCGAGGTGACCGAGAACCAGTCTTCAGGTCTGGGCTCCGGATCGGAGAGCTCCACTGCGTTAGGTACACAAACACTGCCACTCAAATACATGCAGACCTTTAAAGAAAAGACACCTTTCCTCTGCGCATTATGAGAATTAAGAACCTGAGACAACCATACATTGCATAGTTTGCATTTTTCAGTATAAAGCCAAAAACATACTCTACAGACGCAAGCAAATGCAGCTGTGAATGCTTTGCTGACATGTTGTATGCATTGTAATTTTGTTAGAGTTATGCTCATGAAAAAACGAAAATAAACAATTTGCCAATAGGATAAAAACAGAAAATGTATGCAAGAAATATCCAAAAGAAAGTGTTACTTTTTTTTCTTCAATATTCAGAACTGTTTTTTTTTTATTATTATATTAAATAATCATTAGACTGTCAATCAAAATGCAATATGTACAATAGTAGTAGTAATAGTAATAATAATAGCTGCTATTATTATTAATTTATTATAACAAAATAAAAGATATTGATAATAATAATAATTATTATTATTACTATAATAATAATAATAATAATAATTTATTATTATTATTATTATTATTACTATTAAAATGATGGCAAAGTGAGCTGTTTTCCTATATTACCATAATATTTACCTTATAACTAATATGCAGAACTGATGTTTTTGTGTTGTTTTATTTGTTTTTTATCTTTAGTACATCAATCAAATTAATATGTACAATAATAATTATAATTATAATTATTATTATTATTATTATATTTATATTTATTTATACTTCCTTGTTATTATTTTATTATTATTATTAAATTATAATCAATATTGGCAAAATGGCATGTTTTCATATTTTACCAGAATGTTTATCTGATAATTAAATTAAGAAATTTTATTTTAGTGTTGTTTTATATGTCTCAAAATGTATAGTCTTTTATGGATGTTGATATATGAATGCTGATTCAAAATTATTTTAAATATTATAATATACAAGATTTTTTTGCATTCATGTAATTGCATAAAAATGTTGTGGACACTAGTTACATTTTATGCTGCATAATAATTTCATATTTATTTACTGTCAGGCAGGAAATGTAAGTTTTTCTTCATTGCATTCAGCGGATATTCACAAGATTTATCAGACTTGATGTACGTGCAAATTGTGACATGTTTGACCTTTTAGACCTTTCCGTGGTTTCCGATTAGTCATCGGTGGCTTGTGGTTCTGGAATGTCTGACCTAGTTGTTATTTCTAGAAGCTCAATTGAATCCATATTAATTGTGTTAACAAACTTTATATTCCTAAATGTGATTTGTTTCAGAATCTTAACCTGCTGTTTCACCTTATAACAGTCACACAGCACACATAACAGTGCTGAATAATAAGATATAGGGCTGGACAATAATTCAATATCAATATGTATCGCGATATAATTTTTTTCAATAACGGTGATATGACTGATGTTTTAATGTTGTTTTATTTTAAATAACCATTAGACTACATAAATTAAAACTTAATATGTACAATAATAATAATAATTATCATTGTTGTTATTATTATTTATTATTATTTTAACAATAAGAAATAACAAATATGTGACCCTGGAGCACAAAAGCAGTCTGAAGTCGCTGGGGTATATTTGTAGCAATAGCCAACAATACATCATATGGGTCAAAATTATTGATTTTTCTTTTATGCCAAAAATCATTAGGATATTAAGTAAAGATCATGTTCCATGAAGATATTTTGTAAATTTCCTGCCGTAAATATATCAAAACTTAATTTTTGATTAGTAATATGCATTGCTAAGAACTTCATTTGGACAACTTTAAAGGCGATTTTCTCAATATTTACATTTTTTTTGCACCCTCAGATTCCAGATTTTCATATAGTTGTATCTCAGCCAAATATTGTCCTAACAAACCATGCATCAATGGAAAGCTTATTTATTCAGCTTTCAGATGGTGTATAAATCTCAATTTCGAAAAATTTACCCTTATTTTGTGGTCCAGGGTCACATATTATTATTTATTTCATTTTATTATAGTGGTTTTCTAATTGTGTTGTCTAGATCATTACTGTATGAACATTTATTTTATTATATAATTCTTTTTGTGTTGTTTTGTTTAAGGACATTGTTTGGTTTTGTTTGCTCTCTTGGTCAGATGCGCTGACTCCCGCGTCCAGCCCGGCGTCAGGTGTGGCAGGACAGGACGAGTTCACCTGCACCTCTCTGAACCTGGAGTGCCGCGTGTGTTCGGACCGCGCGTCAGGATACCACTACGGGGTTCACGCGTGTGAGGGCTGCAAGGTGAGAGCCGGCCCTTTAAGTCCTGCAGATGATTGCCTTCACAAAGACAATGAATGCGGGCTGAAATGGCACTTTAGCAGCCGTTTGCCTACTTTTTAAGGTTTACAGTAGAAGATAACATTTCTGTGAATGTTACTGTAAAATATGTGTATAATGTATGAAGTATAGAGGCATTAGACTGAAGAGTTTCTGTATATTATCTCTCACACACACTGCTGGCCTGTCAAAGCCCCAGGACACACACACACACACTGGTCTCATTGAGGACACTGAGGATGTTTTGCCCTCATATCTGCGTCTAGAGGAACATCTGTTGACTGCGCACATTAGTCATAATATTGTTGTTAGATGAGCACCAAAAACACTGGCTGCGTTCTTACCACAGTGTGTTTGCTTTTGCTTTAATGTCTATGTGCTTTATGAACTCAAAGGCCAGACAGACCATTATATTGTCTGGGAGAATTAATGCATTTTGATGTATTTTAAAGTGTAAAATAAATAATCATTAGACTACATAAATTAAACAATTATATAATAATTCATGTAATTATAATTATATAATAATTACATTTTTGATAATCGTTAGACTAAATCCAACTTAACATGCACAATAATAATGAAAATAATAGTTTATAATAACAGTTATTATTATTATTAAAAATCAGTTATAGCATAGTGGGATGTTTTAATACATTGGCAGAATATTTACCTGATGCAGAACTGATGTTTTAGTTTTGATTTATTTATTTTGTGTTAAATAATCATTAGACTACATCAATCAAAACTTTATATGTACAATAATAATAATAATAGTTACTGCTATTATGTATTTATTATAACAACAATTATTATTTATTTTAACAGCAACAATTACTTTTTATTTGTATTACTATTTTTTTTTTTTGTTATTGTTGATCAAACTGAAGATTGCATTACATCTCTTATAGTATTTCTGCGAAATTTTTATATTTATTGTTGTGTATATGTTTTGTCACTTCACTTGCAAATTGATTCGATTTTCAAATGCTCGCTGCTCATAAAGTATCATTGGAAGCTATTTATTCACTTGCCACCCGACTTACAGTAGGCCTTGACCTTGATGTTCAAACACGGGCGACAGGTGCGTCCTCGCCCCGTCCGGCTGTGAGTTATGGGACTGCTTGAGCCGAGTCACAGGCCACGGCTGCAGAGGGCAACACGCTCCAGAAGAGTTAAATACAGCCGTGTGCAATAATGCTTAGAAAAACAGAAAAGTCCTTCAGTGCGCTTGTCTAGAATCTTTCAGCACTTAGAGATGCAATGCACTCTTTGTTTATTGCTGGCAATATGCTTCTTTATTACTGACTATTTGCTTGTAGTCTTTGTTTTGGAGCTGTATTTATAAAATGGCTTATATAAAAACAATAAAGATCGTATTTGTAATTATTCAAGAAAAGTGCTTAGAATTAAATAATTATATAAAAATGGTATAATTAAATATTGAAATATTTAGCCTATGTTTTGAAACTACTGTATATTTGAAACTTACTTAATTACAAATTAATAATAATTACTGTAATTGTTTTTGCTAAAACGTACTTGTAATTAAATAAAAATGGTATAAATGAAACATTTAATTAAATATATTAAATATTTAAATATTTTATAAAGTACTTATAATTAAATAAGTACTAGAAACTTTCAGATACTTAAAGCGGCCTAAAAAAATACGGCACTCTTTGTTTATTGCTTGTAGTATGTCTCTTTGTTTTTCTTTATTTACTTTTTGCTTGTAGCCCGTGTTTTGTAGCTGTATTTAGAAAATGTTATAATCAAAACAATTACAGTAATTATTATTCATTTGTAATTTTTTTTGAAAGTACCTCTATTTAAATAAGTAATTAAATAAAAATGGTATCAATTAAATATTTTATTAAATATTTACTGTAATTATTTAGCCTATGTTTTGAAGCTATTTAGAAAATTGCTAATTTAAAACAATTACAGTAATTATTATTAATCAGAATTTTTTTTAAAAGCGCTTATAATTGACTATGTAATTAAATAAAATTGTATAAATTACATATTTAACACTAGAACCGCCAGGGGTCGCTGTATACCTAAAAGCGCCAGCGGGTAAATTTTACCCACGCACTGAGAACGAGAATTAGAAGGAAGTAAATACATATTTGGGTGGTGTAATAGGCTATTATAATACAATGTCATTAATCAATATATTAAGATAACCCATGCTATTTAAATTACTAAAATAGCCTATAGACAATAATAAGCAATAATAATTCACCACATTGCATAGGATGATACGATGACAAATTCAAGCGCACAGTTCCACCTAATTAATTAGGTCGGATTTTTTTTCTTCAGGAAACAGGCAGACTAGAATAAATAGCAACACAGAAGCGAACAATAAACGATAGAAATGGCAAAACAAAAATTTAATAATTAATCAAAATTTTGAACAATTATGAGTAACATTAGGATAAAGCGTCTAAATATGATATATTGATCGCCGTCAGGACGCTTTACTTATCTCCCCACCATCAGACTCTCCATCGCTCATGGCATTTAGTGCTTCTTATACCTCTTCAGCATTCATAAATCGCCTTCTTTTACTCATTTTGTCTTTATTTATGAAACTGATAACCGCGAGTGAGTGAGTGAAAGGCGTTGCCTAGCAATGTACTATGTTAAAACATAAGCGGCACGAAAATGACAGCACGAACAAACAGGCATTATATAGCGGGTAAATTTGACCCGCGCTGGCACTTATAGGTATAAATGCCTCGTTTTTTGATCTGGTTTTATCTAAACAGTTTTTAACAACAGGGGATTGTAAATCACACAATTTTAGTGAAAGTCAGTGACTGGGAGACTTGAATGTTTTTTTTTTAATCTTTTATGTGCGTTTTAAAAACAGCCACGGGTAAAATTTACCCCGTGGCGGTTCTACACTGTAAAAAATGATTGTGATTTAACAGTAAAAGACTGTAAAAATGTTACAGTAAAAACCTGTTAACTGCTTAACAGTAAGTTTCCATACTATATTCGGTGAATAAATGTAATTACATTTAATGTGATTTCACAGTAAAATACTGTTAAAAATACGTTTTTTGGAAGTGAAAAAGAAAAAGTCATTGTATAATTTACAGTGAAAAAACGTAAATTGACACTCCCAGAATTGTGTCACTGTGGTGTTAAGACACCGTAAACATATTAGAATCAGAATTCCCTGCATGACACTTCATATTTGATGTTTTTTTTTTGTTTGTTGAAATAACATGTTTCTTCTTAATTTTTTCTTATCAGTTGTGTACATTAGGGTTTAATCTTACATCTAATGTTGTTGAATCAATGTTTTTGCATTATTTCAGTATTCTGTGTGTCACCATGATGGTGTTTAGTGTTTTTGTGAATGAGACTGTGCACCTTCTATATATAAGTATTGTCCTCCTCAGCTCATAGAAAAGCTGTTTGTGATTAGCTTTGGTTCATCATGTGACTTTCTCATCACCACCAGTTTTTGGTGGTTATCAGTGCATTACAATGGTTCAAAACAGATATTAGTACTTCAATATGTTGGTTTATTAACATTACATCAGTTAATGAAATATGGTATTTTATTGTGAATTTAAGTGAAGTCTGTAAAACCTAAAATGTTGCTACCATATTTTTTACTTTGAAGTTCTGGCAACCACAGCTGCCGGTATTTTACCGTAAATGTCACCGATTTTTTTTTACAGTGTATTGTTAAAGTAGTTGAACAGATTCATTCATTTAAATCAAGAATTGTTTGGGAATCAGATCGTGACTCCAGAATCAGATCGAATCAAATCGTCAGGTGCCTAAAGATTCCCATCCTTAATATTAATGTAGAATTTAATTGATGTGCTTTACATCAAAAATAGCTTTTGGAATCAGAATCTTGAGCCCTGACTGTCCATTTCCTAATACCTGACTCGTCTGCGTCTCCATCTGCTCAGTCATGTTTTGGACACTCTCGACCTCTCCTCCTCTTCCTCCTGTCCCTGGTGCCTCTCCGTCTCCCTCCGTATCTCCCCATCTAATCTCCCTTTCGAAACCGCAGTGTTTCTAGGGACGAAATGGCTCAATATGAGTGAAGCAAGAGCGATTAGTTTTTACAGCCCCGTCCCTTCTTGCCAGCCTGCACTTAAACCTCTGCTCTGCTGGCAGACCGCTGGTCGTCTTCAGGACTTCGCCAGATTGTGCAAGACGCTCGATTTCATGCTTTGGATGCATTTATGACCTCAGGAACTGTTTATTCTTTCCAGGAAATAATGCTCTGATGTTAAGATGGAGTTTATGGCTTTCAGCAGCGGTTCATCGTCAAATAAGTTTGAATATAAATGCTGTTTTTTTTTGGTAATGGTTGGTAAGATATTTTTGTGTTTTTGTTCACCAAGGCTGCATTCAATTGATCAAAAATACTATAAAAATACTATGAAAATTATGAATTATTCCCCCAGTTTCACAGACAAGGCTTAAGCCTAGTCCCAGACTAAAGTGTGATTCTGAGCTGTTTCAACTGAAAGAAACTTGCACTGACTGATCTTAAAACATATCAGTGCCTTTGTTTGGTCTCAAGATGCACACCAGTGATGTTTTTTCTAAGGCATGTTAATCAAAATTACTTAAATGTCCTAATTGAACTATGACCTAATCCTGGCTTAGTCTGAGCCCTGTCTGTGAAACCGGGCCATTATTCGAATTAAAATGAACTTCTTCTATTCTAGTCTTCTATTCGAATGTGTTAAAATATATAATTAATATAATTTCTTCCTGTGATCAAAGCTGAATTTTAAGCATCATTACTCCAGTCTTCAGTGTCACATGATCCTTCAGAAATCATTCTAATATGCTGATTTGCTGCTCAAGAAGCATTTTTAATTATTATCAATGTTGAAAACAGTTGTGCTGCTTCCTATTTTTTTGAATAAATTTTATTACCATGATACATTTTATTTTTCAGGATTCTTTGATGAATAGAACGTTCAAAAGAACAGCATTTATTTGAAATTTTGTAACATTTTAAACGTCTAATGTAATATAATATAAACATAACATAAATGTCGTTTAATTTAAAAGCATATTTTGTGTTGATATATTTACTATATTTACATGTAAGAGCATCAGAAAACACAAAAACAAAACAAGTAAAGAACATGTTAAATGTTTATTTAAATTAATTTAAATTTAATTTAATTTAATTTGCATTCATTTAACTTTAAATTAATTTAAATAAACATTTAAAACCTATTAAAGCAATAATAATTTTAGTACTTTCCATTTGTAAAATATTAAATGAACTGCATTATGTAAAAATAGGTATAGCAACATGGTTATTTAATATATAAAAAAATATGATGCTTCTCCAGCAAGAATGACTATACTTCCATGCATATAATTTCCATTATATAAGGTTTTGATCAGGCCGTTCACTCCTAATGTTAAGCATGGGTCAGATTGTCAGCCTCGTTCCTATTTTGAATCTCTGTCACCAGAAGCTGTTTCTAAGAGAGGAAACCCCGACGGATCCAAGGACAAATGAGGACAAACACAGCCTGCGAATGTGCTGCCAAGCTATTTCCAGAAGCACCTGGTTTAGATTGTGTACATGAATTTCTGGCCCGTTTAATAGCGAGATATGAACTCAAAATAGAAGGAGTTGTCTTTATGGGGTACAGTACAGAACGAAACCGATATTTAAAGCTAGCGTTGACCTTACATTGATCTGGTTGGTCTGGGAATGCTTGTAGGAATGCGTGCTATTCTGGTTTTTCAGAATGAACTCAAACAGAGTTCTGTTTCTCCGTCTTGTAGGGTTTCTTCCGCCGGACCATTCGCCTCAAGCTGGAGTACGATAAATGTGAACGACGCTGTAAGATCCAAAAGAAGAACCGAAACAAGTGCCAATACTGTCGCTTTCAGAAGTGCCTGTCGGTGGGCATGTCCCACAATGGTGAGTGTGACCAACAAAAGCCCACTTCTGATGCTCATTCCATTGTTTTTCATCTAATTTCAACATTTGCAAAGGCTAGTCAGTACGGTGGCTGAGAAGTGCTAAACAAATCACAATTCTGAAAACAAAATAACAAATTACAAACGCAAATGCAAGTCTAAAAAACAAAATAACAATTCAGAAAGCATAACAGCGATTCAGAAAACATTATAACAAGTCAGAAAACACAATGACAAATTCGAAAACAAAATAACAAGTCAGAAAACACAGCGACAAATCAGACAAACCGGAAGAGGTAAGTATAGTTTGAGACAGCGCCATTGGTTTGGGATTACTCACCGCTGACTGGACGAGACATCTGTCAATCAACGTATACAGGGAGTAACCAGCCGAAGAACAGCAGAGTCGTGGTAGAAAGTTCGGAAATGGTATTAAAGTAGCTCAGTTTAAATGTATTGTATGAATTGCCCTTACTATGGAATAAAAAATACGGGGTGTCTATTTACATTTAGTTAAAAGTGGCTGTGAATCATCAGCTCCAGTGGCGCAGATGGATAAGTGTGTGCCCTTTGCTTTTTGACGCGATCGCCCCGGGTTCGATCCCACCTTTTGCCGAACTTTTTTTTCCTCCCTTTTCAATCTCGTATTTGCAATGGATTCTATTTACACTAAATGAAAATAGCAGGATTTTTCCAAACCAATGGCGCTGTCTCAAACTATACCTACCTTTTCCGGTTTGTCTGATTTGTCGTTGTGTTTTCTGACTTGTTAATTTGTTTTCGGATTTGTTGTTGTGTTTTCTGACTTATTTTGTTTTCGAATTTGTCATCGTGTTTTCTGACTTGTTACAATGTTTTCTGAATTGTTGTTGTGCTTTCTGAATTGTTATTTTGTTTTTTAGACTTGCATTTGCATTTGTAATTTGTTATTTTGTTTTCAGAATTGTGATTTGTTTAGCACTTCTCGGCCACCGTAAGTCAGTGATTTCATTTATACATTTATTTATTTTGACAAACACTAAGGTCATTTGGTAATTTAATCCACTTCTCTCAGTTTATGGGAACGGATCTATATCTATATATCTAATCTATATATCTAAAGTCGTTACATAGATCACTGCGAACTGTTGCACTTCATGGTAATGTGCACATATTTTAAATATGGACACTTATTAGTGAAATGCTGGAAACTGTTTACAAATAATGTGAAGTTGGACATTATTATAGTTTTAACAAATATTGTATATTTTTTTTTGCAATTATATATTTATTTATGGTATTAATAATATTTTTCTATTTACATTTTATATTAGGGTTTGCACAACTAATCAGTGTTATTGCAGTTACAGTGTTATTTTAGTATCACTGAGATACTATTATAATTTTATTGGTATTTGTAATTTAATTAAATTTTTATATTTTCTGTTTTCACTTTAATTTTAGTTGAAGATTTAGTAATTTTGTTTTGTGCTTTTGTCATGTCTGTTATTTTTTGTCTAGATTCTTATTAAATTGATTTCAGTTGTAGTAATGTTTAGTAATGTAGTACTTGAAGTTCAAATGAAAATGAGAAATAATGCTTTGACAAACAGCTGAAATAGAATAAGTTATTGTCAATTTTATTTTATTTCAGTTAACATTTATTTTGTTTCAAGTAGTGAAAATGTTTTTTATGGTTTTAGTTTTAGTTAACAACAATAACCCTGATTAGTAGTCGAGTCATGAGTTTACTTTATGTAAATAATAGTATGCTTATGTAATGTACACATTTTTAAAATGACATTTTGAGAGATAAAATGCAAGTTAGAAAGCCATTTAAACTATAAATAGGATATTTAAATAATTAAATAATAAATAGGATGGTATTTCCTATTATTACATTTAATATGAACTTATTATTTGTCTAAGCAATAACAGAAATTTTGTTTACTGCTTCTTCACCATGAATTAAATGCCATGCGAATGCATGAGTTTTATTTTATTTTTACACTCTCCCTATGAGAAATTACCATCCAAATAGGGCTAAATTCTTCAAGCGTTGTAGCAAGGTCCAAAATAAATACTGTCCATCTAAACAACTTTTTGAGGAATTGCAAAATTTACATTTCAGTCCGTTCCTCACAAAAATTGTTGTTTGGCGTTAGATGTCTTGAAAATAGCACATTTGTAGTATGAGCTACTTTTATGGGGATTTGTCAAATTTGTAGTTTGACAACACATGACCATTATTTGCTTATTAAAGCTCAATTCAGAGACAGAAAATATATAGATACACCTATACTGCACTGAAAATATAACAGTGTATGTATGGGTTGATGTTGCAGCAACGTTCTGGATAATCTTTGACTAAATGAGCTAACGTGAGAGCGTTTGTCCTTGAGATATCAGTGCATTGACTTCCTGCGATGACCTCTTCACTGTTTTCAGTCTGGAGTCAAAGGTCATCATTTATTAGGGCCGCTAACACGTCCAGCCCTGCTGAAGCACTCATCATATGCAGGCTTTATGACCAGCGAAGGCATGTGCTGAAATCGAGCTATGGTCGAAGTCTGAAATCTGAACTGTGGACACTTGAAAACATTCCTCAAAGCGATGTAGGTTAGCTGCTAAAATTAGCAAGTTTTATGGTGTCTTTGGTTGTTTTGATAGAAATAGTCATATATAAATTGTGTTGGAAAAGAGACTTGTGTTACTAAATAAACAGGGATTGGTTGTTCCATTCTTTTCTTTATTAAAGCGGTTTATCTTTCAGGTTGACACACATCGTAAGATGATATAAACACATATGCTTGCTTTAGAATAGGCATCTGCTTCAGACTTGCTCATCCCAGTGAAAGTTAAAACCAGCGACCCTCGCCACTCCCTTCATCCTGTTGCATAAACCTTTTTTTGCATTAAATTGATCAAAAGGGGCATATAAAATGTTACATAAGATTTCTATTTCAAATAAATGCTGTGCTTGAACTTTATATTCATCAAAGAATCCTGAAAAAAAATTGTACACAAGTGTTTTCAACATATAATAATAATAAGAAATGTTTCTTAAGCTTCAAATCAGCATATTATTATGATTTCTGAAGGATCATGTGACACTGAAGACTGGAGTAAAGATGCTGAAAATTCAGCTTTTAACACAGGAATAAATTACATTTTACAATATATTCAAGTAGAAAAGTTATTTTAAATTGTAATAATATTTCACATTATTGCTGTTTGTACTGTATTTTTAATCAAATAAATGCAGCTTTGGTAAGCAGAAGAGACTTCTTTCTACCTTTTGACCTATTTTACACCTTGCAAGCCCCAAAAAATTGGCTTTTTTCTATTTCGCTTTGTACTGTGTAGTTTTTGTGTTCATGTTCAACATAACAACAATCCTGTTGCTGGACTCTTTTTTTAACAAGTTAAAAACTCATAAAATCTCATAAAAAACATGTTATGCGACATATTGAAAAAAAAGCAAGAAAGTCTGACAGTGTTCTGAATTGGTCATGTAATGTGGAAAAGTTTTGAACTGTGATCTTAATGTGCCATAACAATACATATTCGTGGAGATTAGTTTCAACATGTATGCGTGTGCATGCAAAAGTGTTTTCGAAACATGCATTTGTGTGTCATGCAGTGGAGGTTTGCAGGCTGGGACTGTAAGCTTATTAGCTGTTGGAGATTATGGCGTCTGCATTAGGATTGTATTCAGGTTTTAAAGATGTCTACATTTGCATGCACCATATACTACTTACAGTAGAGACCTAAGCAACTATCCAAAACACACTAGCAACCACATAAAATCATTTAGAGCAACTCTTCAGCATCATAAAAGATAGTTTTGCATTGGCACCACTGGTTAAATCTAGTTTGTGATATGTTGTGTATTTATTCTGGAGCAGCTTCACACGATCAACAGTGTGCATGGAAGGAGAAATCAAAAGTATTTATTTAAAACAAAACCAGCAACACTTGTTAAGTGGAAAAATCTAACTATTCAGAGAATGGAATGGAAAAATAAATACAAAGTTTCTTTGTATTGGTGAAATAAATAGTATATAGTTTTTTCAATTCCATTCTCTGAATAGTTTGATGTCTCCACTTGACAAGTGTCGCTGGTTTTGTTTTAAATAAATCTAGTTTCTGAAATGCTGAAACAATGTTCGACTCCATAATACCTACCGCTGCTCTGCCTGTCCAATGACACCATAAAACTGCATTTGAACACGGTCCAGATTGAAACTCATGTTACTCAATTCCTCTGGGCAAGTTTCTAAGGCACCAGACATCCTGATCTGACAAAATCTGTAAATAATGGCCTTGGATTTCAGCAAATATTAATCATCCATGATCAGCAGCGCGTGTGGTTGTTTTGCAAGAGAATCCTCAGAGTGAAGGTTTACAGACACAGCTTACAGTCCACTTTTATGTTATCCACACTTGCATCAAACTAACAATAGGGATATTGAACAAAAGCACGTTGAACGTCATGCCAAGTAAGTCACACAGCAGGTTGTTAGTAGCAGAGATTAACTTTTATGTGATTTGAACTCTTGGAAGGCTCTCAAGAACTAACCACGAATGATCACGCCAAATTTTATCAGCATATCACTGGAGAAACTTCAGATATCGGTTTCGTTCCAAAATATAGAGAGCTTCCTACAGAGGCCGCAGCATTATAAGTAGGGCTGCCCCCGACTAAAAATTCTTCTAGTCGACTAATTGCATGGCTCTTTTAAGCCATTAGTCGACTAATTGCATGTTTATATTAATTTAATTACTTAAAGGGATAGTTCACCCAAAAATGAAAATTCTGTCATTTATTACTCACCCTCATGTCGTTCCAAACCCGTAAGACCTTCGTTCATCTTCGGAACACAAATTAAGATATTTTTGATGGAATCCGAGAGCTCTCAGACCCTGCATAGACAGCAATGCAACTGCAATGTTCCCAGGTCCAGAGACATAATAAGGACATCGGTAAAACAGTCTGTGTGACATCAGTGGCTCAACTTCAGTTTTGCGAAGCTACGAGAATACTTTTTGAGCGCAAAGAAAACAAAAATAACATAATTTTTTTAACAATTCTTCTCCCCCATGCAGATTATGTTCATGCACGCGCTTTCTCCCCCAAACGTAAACAACGCTGATTACGTCGATTATGCTCATGGGTACTCTCAAAAATGGCGGAAGACGTAACTCGGGGGAGAAGAATTGTTAAATAAATAAATTATTATCCAGGTGGATGTGGCACATTGGTGGTGGTTGAGGAGATTCCCCTTCGAATGATGTATTACTCTTATCTGTATGAGCAAAAATGACGTCGTATTTTAAGTTGTTTATCAGGAAAAAATGCCAGTATTTGCGCCGGCGCCTCCATATCCTGCAGTAAGCATGCTAATAGCTTCCACACTTTGCACTAACACTCGGACATGCGTTTATAGTGCACATACTGTATATCTATATTAATGTTAGAGTGAGCAGCCGTGTAAAGCTGCTACTGCTTATGTTTCACAATCAAATGTTATGCAATATTTTTGGTCGATGAATGACCGGCGAGCGTTTTGATTTCCTGCACGATATAAAGTAATTACCTCAAAGACCAGCCGTTAACGATCTGTCCGCCATGAACACAGACTTTTTTATTTCTGCGACTCATCGACTAATAAAATTTCAGTCGACTAAAGCCGCATACAATAGTGCAGGCGCAAGGTGAATGTTGAGACAGAATGAGTCTACTAGCTGGTACTGCGCATGTGTCGAACTCATCTATTCACACTCATCCGCGGTTGAGTATAGTTGGATGCGGCTGTGCACGAGGCAGAACAGAAGTATAGCCAGGTCTAAATAGGATAGTTCACCCAAAAATGTCATTAATTGCTCACGCTGTCGTTCCAAACCAGTAAGACATTCGTTCATTGTCAGCGCCGATAGCCTCGTGGTTAGTGTGTCAACACATAGCGTAACTGCGCTCATGGTGACCCGAGTTTGATTCCCATCTCGAGGTCCTTTGCTGATCCCACTTTTCTGTTGTCTCTCTACTTTCGTATCTCAATAAAAAAGTTAAATGCATAAAAATCCCAAAAATAATAACTTAAAAAAAAAGACATTTGTTCATCTTCGGAACACAAATTAAGATGTTTTTGATGAAATCCGAGAGCTTTCTGACCCTGCATAGACAGCAACGCAACTACCACGTTCAAGGCCCAGAAAGGTAGTAAGGACTTTGATAAAATAGTCCATGTGACATCAGTGGTTCAACTGTAATGTAATAAAGCTACGAGAATACTTTTTGTGCGAAAAGAAAACAAAAAATAACTTTATTTAACAATTTCTTCTTTCGGGTCAGTCCGCCGCCCTTATCGAGAGTACCATGATTGAACATGAATGAATGTGGTAGTTGTGTTGCTGTCTATGGAGGGTCAGAAAGCTTTCGGATTTCATCAAAAATATCTTAATTTGTGTGACTAATGTTTAGTTGACTATTAGGTGAGCAGCCATAATTATATGTCTTACATGGGACATTCGTTTGGTTGTATTCTCTAAGTTGAGGTTCTTGTTTGTATCCTGCGAACAGCCATCCGCTTTGGGCGAATGCCACAGTCGGAGAAGCTGAGGTTGAAGGCGGAGATCCTAACGGGGGAACGAGAGGTCGAGGACCCGCAACTGGCCGATCAGAAAACCCTGGCCAAGCAGATCTACGAGGCCTACCTGAAGAACTTCAACATGAACAAATCCAAAGCAAGGACCATCCTGACGGGCAAGGCAAGCACGCCGGTAAGAGCATCCAGCCATGTGCTTCATGTATTAGAGCTGATGTGTGTCTTTTTCTGGATCTATTTTGTCTATAATTGCTGCAACATACTTGCAACAACTTAGCAACACCCTAGCTACAACCAAGAACACCTTAGTAAAGCCCTAGTAACCACTCAGAACACCTTAGCAGCATTTTGAATCTAGAACATTTTGAATCTCTTTTAAGTTTTCAGGCATCACGTCAAGCCTAATCACAAATCACATAATCCATTACATTACACATTTTAGGTAATATGTTTAGACTAATTTTGGATTACTTTTAGATTACTTTTGACCTAACTTGTTCATCACATTGATTTAAATAGGATAAACTTGTATTATATTGATAAAAATATACCAAGAGAAAGAAAACATATTCAGTTCCTTGTAATTAACCACATGAAGTGCATTAAACATTATATTACATCAGGGTTTCCCAAACTGGGGTTTGTAAATGTCAAACGATTAATCGCGATTAATCACATCCAAAATAAAAGTTTTTGTTTACATAATATATGTGTGTGTACTGTGTATATTTATTATGTATAAATACACACAGAGTATATATTTTGAAAATATTTACATGTATTTATTAGAGCCTGACCGATATATCGTTTTGCCGATATCATCGGCCGATATGAGCCTGTCGCAGATATATCTGTATCTGTGAATATGCCGCCAATATTAACATTTTTTTTACAGAACATATAACGCAGATTAAATGTTTCTGAATGGTGTAATTACTTAGTTTGTCCGCATTCCATTGTTTGCTACTGGCGAACCCAGTTCAGCGTAGTGTAGAGATGCGCGGATGAGCTCAAACTTTACCCGAGTCCGCTACTTCAAATTATCCACCCGCCACCCACCCGCACCTATATTTGATCGTCACATTACAATGATTCTAATTCTTAGTTTTGCGTGATGATATGATGAATGGATGGTTAATTTTTAACAGCAGATTCAGTGACGTTAGAGACTAGAGCTGATCTGCGCATCACGGCACGCGTCTGCGGCGCACTAAAGCCTGTGTTACGGCCACCGGAGCTGATCGCGGCCACTCAGTCAATGCTGGTGTTTATAACGGCCGCGCTGCGGCCCAGAACTCATGCTTATCACATCGGTCACATCACATCACGCAGCTTGACAAAATACAATAGAATTTCTATTCTATATTGTCGCGCTGCGCCGCTCACGTTCGGTGTAGAATAGAACCCATTATAATCAGTGATGTTGTCTACACTGGATGCAGTAAACTGATGCCTCGCCTCGTTCCGTTTATGACGTGCTGACACAAAGTTCAAATGATTTTCAACGGTTGCTTTTTCGTGTCCTATTGCGGCACAGACACGGTGCCAGCATAGTTTGTCAGTACAGTCTGTAACGTAGCAGATTGAAAAGTTAGTATCTTTCTGCAGTCCAATAGATGGCAGTGCGGTGGTGGCTTGAGTCTGTTGAATGGTGATTTAACGCTACGTTGTCACCTAGTTGGAGAGACTCAATGCTAAGTAAATAAACAACAATGTCCTCGTCTTTTACTCTCACAATGAGCTTATCATATTTGTTTGCTACATTAGTAGGGCCCTATGATTTCCGCGATGCAGAAAACATGGACGGA